TGGGACTGTTCGGACTATCAAGCTGTCTCGAATCTGTGAAATCATAACTGTGACATATACCGATGTCCTATCTGTCTCTTTTCTACGTTATCACCAGGCTATGAGTCACGTAATTATAAAATGGAAAAACAACGACGGAAAAGTGACGAATCGAAGGTATCGTGAGCGCGTATTATGATGTATGCATAGGCATACGTGGACTAGAGAGATAGAGGAAAGAGAAAGGAAAGAGCAAAGACGAGCGCTTAAAAAGAATAGACAGGGTCAGACCCTCAGATGTGTGTGACGATTCTCGAACGAATAGGTGTGTACGTGTGCTGATACTTGTAATTATAAATTGTAAATACATGTGACTAATATTATTTTTTTTTATTTTGTAAATGTTATAAATAAATATAAACAAACAAACAACACTAACCCGATAATATTAAATCTAAATACCAAAATGATTAATTTACTGTGTTTTTGTTATTTCTTACTCCTGTTTTAAGGTATTCGGTATTCAGCCGAATAGTGATTAAATATTCGGTATTCGGCTGAATAGCAAAAAATAGGCCGAATACCGAATAGTAACCGAATATTCGTTACATCACTAATTTATATGGTTTAAAGATGGCAATGAGAAACTTGAAGATTACAAATGCTGTAGAACCAAAACAGTTTTGAATTCCAAAAATTATTTTAAAAATTCTGAATTTATTGCAAATAATTCCCAAAAAATTCTTTGGTAATGGAATAAAAATGTAAATATTAAAGAAACAATTCATAAAATTTGAAAACAAGATTCATAAAAATATAAATTCTATACAATGTCATGTTTGCAATTGTTTGATTAATAAACCAAAGCTTCTTAAGTTTAAAGTATGCTAAAAGTTGCCAAAATCTGTAACAGAAAAAATTTATTTTCTTAATATAATCACAAAGAAATAAAAAAGCATAAAATATAATTGACAGGTTCTCCAAAATGCAAAGAATTTCAATTACTCATTTACAAAGAATTTGTTCCATCAAGCCTGATAATGAATAAATAGTAGTGTATATATATTTAAAGTTGTTACAATAATTTGCTGGATAATGTTACAGTTTTAAAATATTGCATAGTTGTAAAATTTCAATTTTTTTTTTATCAGAGTTTGAGAATTCAAAACTCAAACATCCTTCCCATTCACAATTTATCTCCCACAAAATACTTCATTATTTCCAAAATCAAACTGACACTAAAAAGATGATTTAAAGATTCAGAAGATAACACGAGAAAAAAATCTGATACAAAAACCTTTAAATGAGTTTTAAAATTTTTCAACAAGTGTAAAGTTTGATAGGAAAAAGTTTGTAGTTTTTCAAACATAATTTAAATAATTTTAAAATCTTTTTCATTTGTACACACATGATTTTGTTTAAATTCAAATTAATAATCAGCAAATTTAACTGTCCTGTCAATATGTGATAAAGGCTATTAGATAAGACAAAATTAGATCGGCTAATATCTTAACCACCTCAGCCATCAGCTGGCATTTTTTGAATAGTTGCTTGAGCAAATTTATCAATCTGTAAAATATTTATTAGTTCAGAATATTTCATATTTACTAAATATCAATAAATATCAAAATAATCATTTTCATACAAAAGATTCATACTCTAACTTCTAACTTATATTACATTGTGATGCAATGATAATTTAATTATAGTTTTAATAATACTGATCACTGATTTACTAATCAAAATTTCAAAATTTACTGAATAGTTGCATTTTTACTATTCCAGTTTTTATATTAATATGTAACAGACTGAAAGTATGGCAATTTGATCAAAAAATGACTCCCTAAAGATTTTTACATTTTCAGACTTGGGAGCTTGAAACATTGAAAAATGTAAAAAAGTTGGGTTTTTTTTCTGTGTTTGTGTTTTTGGGCATAATTTTGTTCATCCATTTCAAGGCTTAATAACTCCTGTGCCTTTTGTCAAAAATGTCTAAAATTTTGCAAGGAAGTTTGTATATTAGGGGGCATTGATGCTATTAAATTTTGGGGGTAAAGGTGAAGGAGTGGGAAGATAGAGGGAGTCATGTGTCATATCTTGAGTGGGATTAGACTCAATGAAAATTTTACTCATTATTAACATTCACAATTTTTTATAAAACCTGTCTCTACCCTCAAAATTGAGCTTTTTTCCATTTTATAATAATTAATGATATTAAAAGCTTTTTTAATAATGTCTCATAACAGATGGCACCATACACAATTTTAACTTTTTTGCCAAGAAAGTTATGCAATTCGTTGCTGGATTCCTTTAGTCAATTACTCTCCAATACTGGAATACATTACTTAAACACAAACAAAAAAACACCAAAATGATGGATTCCTTTTAAATCTGTTTTAAAATTTTTTTTACTCTTTCAAACTATTAAATTAGAAAACTTTCAAATTTAAATTATTTTCTTTTTAATTTATTCAGAAAATATTATAAACATTATAAATAATTTTATTAAAATTAAATGTAATTTGTGCCATTTTCTGGATAGTTTTTTCTTTTACTGTTGACTCTTTCCGTTTCTGTTACTGTGACGTATTCCAAAGAGTCAATACCTTTAAGTACCTGGGGTCAACTATGGCTGAGGATGGAAGTGTGGATAAGGAGGTGACAGGCAGGATTCAGGCTGGTTGGCGGAATTGGAGGGATATGTCAGGAGTGTTGTGTGATAAGAGGGTGCCACTTAGGTTGAAAGGGAAAGTTTATCGGATGGTGGTGAGACCAGCTATGCTGTACGCTATTGAGACTGTGAGCTTAAGGAAAACCCATGTCAAAAGGATGGAGGTGGCGGAGATGAGGATGCTCCGTTGGATGTGTGGGGTTACGAGACGGGATCACATTCGAAATGAATGTGTGAGGGGGACAGTGAAAGTTGTGAACATAGAAGCAAAGATACAGGAAGCGAGGTTGAAGTGGTTTGGTCATGTGGTACGGAGGGAAGAAGGGTATGTGGGAAGAAGGGTTATGCAGATGAGAGTGAGGGGGAGGAGGCGGCGGGGACGGCCGCGGAAAAGGTGGATGGATCTTGTGGAGGAGGACTTGAGAGAAAAGCATCTGAATGTGGAGGCAGCCCAGGACAGGGAGCAGTGGAGACGACTCATCAGAAACAGCAACCCTACATATTGTGGGAAAAGCTGAAGAAGAAGAAGAAGAAGACTGTTGACTCTTTCCATCGTGTGGGCACTAAGAAGAACTTTTTCAAGTCCATTGTGGGTTCAAGCCAAGCCAACAATAAGACAGCCAAGGCGGTAAGGGACAAAACCCAATATTCTGGGAAATACCACCACTACAGAATTTTAGAGATTTTCAATCTGCCCAGATTTGATACTGAAAGAGTGGTAGGCTAATATCTTAACCACCTCTGCCATCAGCTGGCATTTTTTGAATAGTTGCTGGAGCAAATTTATCAGTCTGTAAAATATTTATTAGTTCAGAATATTTCATATTTACTAAGGATAGTTCATATTTAATAAATATCAATAAATATCAAAATAATCATTTTCATACAAAAATCTGCAAAAATTATAGAATCATTTACTTTAAAATTAATAAAAAAATTTCTACTATAAAATTATGATTTCAAATAAAAGTTTTAAATATTACCTGTATGTTGCTTGATATGAATAATTGAAACAATTATATCTAAAAATCCCAATAGAATAAAATTTTGCCATGAAAAAATATTTAGTGGCCAGGAAGAACCTAAAATAAAGTTAATTTCATTACATTTTCTGTTTTAATACATAGTATATAATATATATAAACTATTTCTAGATATACTTATCTATATCTACATATATATGGTTATGTATTTATAATACATATATATTTATTTACAAAATATTATCTATTAAAAATTATTAAAGACAAAAATTTCACATACAGTAGGAACATTGATTATCCGACTCAATTGGGGACTGGGGTTGGTCGGATAACTGAAAAAACGGATAACCGAAAAGTATGAAAAATACATTATTATAGTATATTAGTATATCCCATGTAATTAGTATATTAATATATTGCTATTAACCTACTTCGCGTTGAATTTTCATCGATGTTAAGCCTAACAAAATTTTTTTAAAATAATAATCATTGCTATTGTATCATTAAAAATTATTTTAAAATTATTTTATTGCTCACAAAACAAACAACCACTCATAATTAGAAAATTAAGCCTCGTTTAAATACTGGCTTCCCTTTCATGGTCGAGCCAGTGTTGCCAGTTAAAACACGCAAAAATTTAACAAAAATAATATTAAAGTAGCCAAGATGTAGTCAAATACTGTAGTGCCACATCACTAGTGGACATTTGAATTTGCTGACTAAAATGCGGTCGGTTAACCAATGTGACGGTTGATCAGGGGTCGGATAATCGATGCTCTACTGTAATAAATATGTGGGTGGAAATAAATCTAAGTCAATATAAAACTATTGGAAGCTATGCTCAATAAATAACACAACTACAGAGCTTTCACTTATTAACTTCATTTTGATAGCATTTATGAGTTAATTTTTAAAAAATGCAAATATTTTTAACAATAAAACCATTATATACTCTTTTGAGTGATAATACATCATCTGGCCACAAATATTTCAAACAGTTGTCATGGCAACCATTACTATAGTGTCACTTGTGCAAACACAAAGAAAAAGACATAGGTTTTGCATTTGAAAATAAGTAAAATATTTAAAGAAATTTGATTGTCTAGCCACATGGTAGAGGTTAACACAGATGACAATCTATCTAGGCAGATCTGCTTCACTTAATTTGTAAAAACACATGTCCTTATATAACTTCCATCACTACCTTTTTGCTTGTATAAGCAATACTATGGGTGCGTATACTTTTAGCTCCGATCTCGCCCCTAGCGCGCTCAGCCTGTATACTTTTTGTTAGCTACCAACGAGCACGGCGTATACTTTTCGCACCCGTGACGTCATTGCTAGCATTCCTAGCGCGCTCGGCATGCCCGGAGAACTTACAACGAGCTTGGCGTTAGTTCAAAGATGGCGGCGTCCATGTACGATGTTACCGTTTCTTTACCGGACGGAAAAGAAGTTCAATTACGCGTTAATGAAGTCGTTTATCGTCAGATGATGGAAGGTAAGTAAAAAGGGATTCCTAAAAGTGTATAATTTTATATCATAAATCCTATTTCGATAACAGAGGCTTCATTACAGATGTAAATTATGCCAGAGAATTGGCTTTGACGACTCTTTCCACTGCTTCAGTTGGACCGAGTATCCCTGCTGGTAAGTCAAATTTTGATTTCGAATGAAATTGTTGAAAGGATAAACCGATAAACTAAGATCACGATGTAATTAGCGCCGATTGTTAAAAAATTTTAGAATTTTTAATCTGTTATAATAAGGGCTACATATGCTAAATATTTTCTATCTTTTATAGAGGAACCCTGTGGCTTCCAGTGGCCCAAAGCCAGGACAATTCAACTAATTTCCTTGTACAATGAACACAGGGAGAAGTTTGAATTACCCCAATATACAAATATTCAGGTTGTAGCCTACTGCTTGTCAAATTAACATTGTAACTATGAACCTTTCATAA